TGAGACGCTTGCTTCACCATCTTCTCCCCATTCTGTCTCATCTCCTCAACCAGTTTGTCCCGATGGCTGCCCGGCTCCAGCCCTTTACTCAGATCCTCAGCTTTGGCCTCCTCCACATCCTGATGCACCTGAGAATACATCTGCAGGAATCTGAAGGTGTCCTTCTCCTTCTGTGCTGCTTCCAGGCTGCTCTTGCTGGTTTTCAGGGACACCATACGAGCAGAGACCGAGCTCTGGACGCTGGTCAGAGAGATGTCACGCAGCTTAGTCACAGCCTCAATCAGACGCACACTGCAGCGACCCAGCTTCCCTCTTTCACTCTTCTCCCACTTTTCCAGACTCACATTCTCATCGTCTGTTTTCTCCTGTAAGATCAGCTGCTCAGCTTTCAGCTTCTCCAGGAGCTCTTTGTGGGCTGTGGAGAAGGTCTTCATATTGTGTAGGCGGTGCTGGTCCTCAATGGCGCAGGAAACACAAACACAGGTCATGTCGTCCAAGCAGTAGTACTCCAGGAGCTTGCCGTGCTGAGAACATTTGGTGTTCCCACATAAAGCCATGGGTTCAGTCAGAGGATGAGTCTGCAGTAACACAGGTGTGGTCAGGTGGGCCTGGAGGTGCTGGACACACATAGAGATCTCACACTTCATGCACGTCTTCTTTGCTGGTTTCCTGTCCTCTGCACACATGTCACAGAGGACAGTTTGTGGATCTGTTCTTCTCCTTTTTGTTTGTATGCTGTCAGACATGTTTTCCAGCAGGAGGTCCTCCTTAGATTTGTTGAGTATAATTCAGTGTTGAACAAAGTCCTTGTCAACTCTTTTTTAGAAAAAATTTGGAATTTGATGAACCCCTGAGTTTTGTTCTTTTCTTGCCAGCTTCTGATCAACCTGTTTAGTCTGCTCAGGAGTGCTGCACCACACTTTCAATTCCCTGAAAACTCCACACTGAAGGGGTGGAGTCAGACAAATGTGACTGCAGCTGTTTTATAATGTTTGCAATTCAGTTTAATTTCCTCCAAGATTGACAGGAAACACTCAAAATGTTAAAACACTGAATAAGCAATCTATAAAATCCAGGCAGCAATAAGCCAGTTATAATTAGCACAAGATTGATTTTAGGAGCTATTTAATATTCACATTTTCTCACTTCATATGTTTGTACAGAACCACATCTTCATTTAGCTCCAAAATAAGCATCATCATTAAATGAAACAAAGAGGATACTGGAGTTCTCACACTTCATACAGGTCTTCTTTGCTGGTTTTCTTTCCTCTTTCACACAGAACAGCTTATGGATCGGCCGGTGTTTTTAGATGTTTATTTAAATCTGGATCTCCTGATCTGACTTGTTGAATCTCATTCAGTCCTGAAAGAATCTCTGCTGCTCTTTGTTTGACTCCAGCTCAATGAACAGAAGTGTTTTCTAGCCTGGTCTCTCAGTTATTTATAAATCCAGTAGCACCGTACAAAAGTTTGGATCATCTGGAAGTTAGTTTGCACTTTGCACTGCTAAAACAAATAGCGAACAGGCAGAGTCAGGCAAGTTTAACTGCAGAAATATGGACGTGTTAGAAAAAATGATCAGAGTTTGATGGGCAAACACACTTTTGTGCTAGGGTAGAAAAGACATGGACTTACATGGAATTACGAAATCCACAGAGCAATTTTTCCATTGTTGTGCTGACATTAAAATACTGTTAATTTACCATAATGTAGCTTATGGATGACATTCATTCACTGGCTTTCAGCTGCCCTTATTTTCTATCATGTAGAACAAAGAGGAAAAACATTTTTAATGTAAGGTCACAATACCTGGTGATTATTTAAAGGCTTTGATGTTAGAGGCAGGATTCCTGTCAGCACTGAACAAATGTATTTATCAGATTGTTGGAAACTGAGCGCCCTGCCTGTAGATTATAAACCTTTATGGCAGAACAATAGTTCCCTGTATCTGCCTCCAAGTTACTGTAAAACAATGAGCCTGCTCTTATCTAATGAGACAAAATCTTATCAGTTTTTGTGTCCTTATATAAGACCCGTAGTATTTTGCAGCCTGGTCTCTCAGTCTTTTCAGTTTTCAATATTCAAACTAATTAAAACCAATAGAATGCAGATTGATTTGCTTTACTTTTATACTGACAAAGGTGTACTTAATAAACTGGCAAATTCAGTAACTTTCTTTTGTCCAATTAACACAAATGAAAATGCAATGTTCTCACTTCAGTTACTCAGATATGTAAAGCATTGCATATATTAAAAGTATACTCACTTTTTTATTTATCAGATCATTTACATTGTATAAAACAACAGCTGTTTCTTTGTTGTCGATAATAAGACCGAAGAGCTGTGTGTACAATGTGAGAGCACCACCAGCAGATGGAGACACACGTCTTCAACTTGCAGGTGAAATAAAGTAGAAACGGTTCAAACTAAAAGAATTTGTTGCTACATTTAAAGCAAACACTGGAGCTAAGAATATTTTAACTAACAAAAAAACAAAATTGTTTTACTTTTTTAATTTACATTACTTTCATATGTGATACATCGCACAACAAGTTAATCACTGAAGCAGCACAATGTCTTCACAGTTTATGAATGTGAAAGACAGTCAGTTACATTGATATTCATACAGGGACAGAAAATGACTAAATGATCAGCAGAGTTTGAACTAACAGAGTTTACAAACCATTTCTGTGACACATGGACCACCAATCATTTTTCCACAAGAACAATTAGCCTGGGAAGAAAAGCGGGACACATTATTTCTGTATCCATTACCATCCC